TACAACAAAAAGCATACAATATTACAAGTTTCTATGCCTCTGTTGAGACATTAGAAACTTGTTATAGTGTGTCCTCTCGGAAACAGAAGGGGGATGCTCAGCCTCACTGGTCATAAAAGAAATGCAAATCAAAACCAAAACCACATTTAGATCCCATTCACCACAGTTAGAATGTCCACTATCAAGAAAACAAATAATAACAAATGCTGGGGTGGATATGCCTAAATGAGAACCCTACCACACTGATGGTAGGAATGTAAGCTGGTTCAACCACTCTGAAGGCAGTATGGAGGTTCCTCAAAAGACTAAACATAGAACTCCCTTAAGATCTAGCAATCCCACTCCTCACAGTTATCCAAATGATCTCAAACTAGGGCACAATAAGCTACCAGAACAACTATGTTCATTGCAGCATTGTTTACCATAGCTAAGATATGGAGCCAACCCAGTTGCCCCTCAATAGATGAATGGATCAAGAAAATATGGTATATTTACAGAATGTAATTTTATGCTTCTATCAGAAAGAGTGGCGTAGTCCCTTTTGTAAGAAAATGAAAAGACTTGGAAGAAATCATACTAAGTTAATCAAGTCAGGCCCAAAGAAACATGAGCTCTATGATTTCCCTCACTTACAATGAGTAGCAATGGCCTATTACTCCTGAAAGTGGATTATAGTAGCACAGAAGTTATGAATATATACATGACCATAAGAAATGATGCTAATTGAAATGAATGCCAATACATAGAAACGCAGGTCTTCTTTTGTTTAGTTGTCAAGCTTGATGTTACCAATGTACTGCAGATAGTTCATTCTTCTTACTTTATGTTATTTTTCGTCTCCTAGGGTTTTATCCATGGCAATTCCCATCTGTGATTCTGGTACCCTGAATTCTGTATATTCTGTTAATGAATCTGGGAAAGTTAAATGGATTTCTTTTTTACTATGGTTGCAACTGTCTTTTACATTTCAAGTACTTAACAAAAAGAATGTAAGACAATCACGGCCAGTGGTACACACTTGTAACTCTAGCTGTGATCTGAGGAAAGTGGATTATAGCTAGACCAGTTTAGAATAATCTGTGAAATTTTGATCTCCAATTAACTATTCAAAATCAAGAAGTAAAGGTTGGCTCAAGTCGTACTCGGCTACCCTTGAGTTAAAAAACTAAAGGTCAGCTCCCTAAGTTCAAGCTCCATTATTCACACACACACACACACACACACACACACACACACACACACACACAGTTACCCTTGAAAAAAAAGCTAAAAGTCAACTCCTCGATTTTGAGCCCAAGTATTTACACACACACACACACACACACACACACACACACACACATACACACAAACACATTTTATCTCAAAAATAGCCAGTGACCAGGAAACAAACAAGATGATATTTTTCTTTGTTTTCTTTCATTTTTGTCATGTTTATTCATTTATCTCTCTTTGAGAAGTTAAAGGGGTCATTTTAAAAGAGAGACATGAACATGTTCAACAGTGGTATTCAATTGGTACTATATTGAAAATGACTTATGCAACTTGTTTGTGGGGAAAGACGGGAAAATGAAGAGATGAAGGGAAAGGGTAACATAATCCAAAAAAAAAATGCACTCAGGGAAGTAGAGCTGTGGCTCAATATGAGTGCTATTCTTCAGCAAAAGATCTCAGAGACAGTGCTCAGGCCCTTGGTTCAAGACTGATTACTGACTGAAACAAAAACATATACAAAGGAAATGTAGTCATTACCACACGTATGAAACTATCTCCTCTACAGCAAAATAATGATAAGAAGAAAGAGAAGAAGAAGAAGAAGGAGGAGGAGGAGGAGGAGGAGGAGGAGGAGGAGGAGGAGGAGGAGGAGGAGGAGGAGGAGGAGGAGGAGGAGGAGGAGGAGGAGGAGGAGGAGGAGGAGGAGGAGGAGGAGGAGAAGGAGGAGGTGGAAGTTAATAAAACCAAACCAGTGAGAGAGAAAAATTGAGAGAGCAAGGGAAGGGGTGATATTTCAAAAAAGAAATATATCCATACCTGACTTATATGACTATAAACTCTGTGTACACATATTTGTAATTATAATACAAAGAAAAAAACAGAAATATAGTTCTGGAGGCATAACTCAAATGGAAGATCTGACTAATAAGTATGTGATACCAAGTTCAAAACCCATTATCAATTTCCCCTTCAAAAATGGCTCTTCTCATCATGTGTGCTTTCCCTAGCTTATGAAAAGGGGTGCAAACAGTTAAAGAGAGAGCAAAATAAGCTATCTGACACAGAACTGTGCTTTTAAAGAGCAGTACTTGCTAGAACACGTGTTGACTATAACAGATGATGACTCCATGTTTTCTGAAATAAATAGACCTAGTCGAACTTGAATACAGGCTCCACTGTATACGAGATAAGGACTCAAAATTAACTAAACTCTCTGGGGCTCAAAGTCTTCATAGTTAAAGTGAGCATAACAATACAAATCTCACATTATGAGATCTGGATGTCATCAAACCTGGAGTGGGTTTTATCTTAGGTGTGTGTGAAACACTCAAAAGCTGCTGGAAGGAGTATAAACTGGCCTGATGTTTACTATATTACTTAACAGTAAAACAGCAACTATACAGACTCATGGCTGTTTTCTCATGCTGAGAAAAGAGGATCAAGGTTCTAAGCCAGAACAGGAAAATGGATCAGAGTCATCTCCATTGACAGCTAAAAAAGCTTGAGGTGGAGTTTGGTTCAAGTTGTAGAAAGCAAAAATCTCAGGAACAGTGTCCAGGCCCTGAGTTCAAACCCTAGGACCAGCACAAGCACACACGCACACCACACACACACACACACACACACACACACACACACACACACACACCACAAAAACACATACACAAACACACACAATTTTGTATGTTCCTATCACCCCACTTAACAATACTTTCCCACTTCCAAGCTCACAAGTTGTTGTTGTTTTGTTTTGTTTTCAAAGGGACTTGCTGTGTAGCTCAGGTTGCTCTTAAGCTTACAATCCTCCTGGGTGCTGTGATTACAGGCATGTCTACCATAATTGGCTTCACTCAGTAACTCTATAATATTTTTTGCAAGAAATTCATTCATACTCATGAAGATATGTGGCTTAAAGTTGTTCATATTAATATTCTAATGTACAAAATGTAAATAATATAGCTGGACATGGTACTATACTACCACATGGTAATGTCAGACAGAAGTAGGAGTTGCGGAAAGCCAGATTTACACTGCAGAATCTTGTCTCCAAGGAAAGAAATTCTGTAAATATAAATCTATTCTGAGACATACAATATGTTAAATTTATATAATGAAAAAAATAGATTATTTTTAATGGAAATAAAATCTTGACAGAAAATTTGAAAACATGTATATGTATATATATTTAAATTTGGAGAAATAAAATTTCAAGTGGTATTATCTGTATTTTTCAGTCTGTCACCTACCGATTTACTGACACATTGATTTCTGTTTAGTCTTCACAAAACACTGTTCTCTCACATAAGTACAAAAAAACTGCAAAACAAAAAGTACAAAAAGTGCATTATCATAAACGCAAATGTAGTTTATTCCCTACCATAATAATTTGGAGAAAACATGCATTAAGTTAATGGCATTGAATACTGCTCAAGAAGGGGAGTCAAAGAGAATGTAGATTATGTGTTTGTGTGTGTGTGTTTGTTCCATGAGTAAATAATGGAGTCAGAAGTAGACCTAATATTCCTGTTTAGTCTTTTTGCTCAAAGCTAACACTCTACAATGAGAGCTACATCTCCACTTCTGGATTTTGGTTTCTCAATTGGAGAAATATCTCAGATTTTTCTGCATAGGCTGCTTTAAACCAGGATCCTCTGATTTTTACCTCTAAAGTAGCCAGGTTTTAAAATATGAGCCATAGGTGGACAGCAACTACATTAATATTTTTTGCATGTTTGAATGAATTTTAGAGTAAGACATATATGTTACTTTTGAGAATGTAGGAAAATAGTAATTAATATTTAAGAGATCATAAAACATACAAACCTGAACATAGAATTTAGCTGAGAATAGAATGGAATAAATCAAAATTACCTATGATAGTTTTCAGTCTGTGCACAGAAATGATTGCATTGTTGGAGTCCAAGGCCATCAGATAGCTTAGCCCCAGCTGGCTGCTATGCTCATGAGGCCAGCTAGTGATATTCACAAGAATGTGATGTTGTTGGATGGCAGGGATCAGCTTCAAGTTCAGAGATCAATACCTATTGATCTCAAACCCTGATATTTTGAAATACATTGTACTTCCATTATCACAGCTTTTCCTGAATTCCTAGAACCTAAAAAAAGTTTCAGCTTTACTTAGTATTTAACATTTCTTTTTTTCTCTCTCTTTTTGTCGTTCGTGGGGCTTGCACTCTGGGCCAGGGCATGATCCCTGAGTTCTTTAGCTCACAGCACCACTTTTGTGTTTTATGGTGGTTAATTTGAGATAAAAGTCGGATGAAATTTCCTGCCTGGGCTACCTTTGAACTGCGATCCTCAAAAGCAGCTTCCTGAGTACCTTGGATAATAGACACGAGCCACTAGTTTAACCCATTTCTTACTCTATCCTCAAACCTGGTTAACCAGAAACCTAATCCAAATCACATTCTGATTTAACACCAAATGGCTAATGTAAGGAAAATTGTCTAGATTCTATTCAATCGTACATTTTTTTGGCTTCTACTTCTTATTGGAAAACTAAAATTTATTTTTTTTTTTTTTTCATTATTTAGAGAATACTTTATTAGTTTCTGTAATCAAACCCACGTAGATAAGACCTTACATATTTAATACAGTGCGTTTACCCCTGTACAAATGGAAAAAAATTAAGTTTAACATTTCTAGACCAATATGGCTATTAATTTCTGTACAATGCCAACTCAACACGGTAAACTGGGATACTTTTTCCAAAGTTGACAGCACAGCTAAAGTTTCCAAAAATTCAAATTATATATATGTATATATATATATTTATATTTATATAAAAAGACCAATAATAGCAGTATGTTATGCATCAATAGCAGCAACAGCTTTTCCAGGTTCTGCAGTCATCTGAACAAAATTAGACATCCAGCACATCCATTAATAAAAAGAAAAAAAAAGATAAAAAACAAAACCCCAGAAAAATGCGAAGTTCTGTTACTGTTGTGGTACCTGGCACCATTTTTTTTTTTATTAACTTCTCAATCATCATCTGGAAAGAAAACATTCTTGAGTAACATCATTAAAAACAGCTCTGATAAAGCACAGTCACTACTACGTATCATAAAGCAGGTACAAGATATTTATATTCACAGAGGGATGATACAGTACTGTCCTACGTCTATAATACTAGAGGATACAATTAAAAAGGCATTATTGAGACTTGATTCTACTTTTCCAGCAGAGGGCCAAAGGATGGTATGACACAGCTCTGTGAAGAAATGCACTTTCTTAGAAAGCTTATCCTTCCCTAAACCTAACCGGAACAAAAATGTACCTCACACTTTAAACCAAATTTTATCTGAATGTTTAAAGTAACACAGACTGGTTTCATTCATTCTTGCCATTCATTCCTCTTAAAATATGTGGCAGTTTTACACAATGTCTGACATGTTTTTCTCATCCTAATCCGCTCTGACTGGCACACCTTGCCTAATCCTAAGCATACATATAACTGAATCATCATGTTAATAACAAGCCACTTTTTCATATTTATCCCAACTCTTGCTCAGCGTGGAGGTCTAAATTTTACTTGCATTTTGAACATAAATTTTAAGTGTTTTTCTATTTCTTGTCAGGTTTTATTGTTCATTAATTTTTAAAAATTTTATTTTGTTGAAAAGATGCTTTAAAGAGGGATTAGTTACATGTGTAAGGTAAGGAGTACGTTTCTTGTTGAGCATTGTTACCCACTTCTTTCTTGTTCTCCCATTATTCCATCCCTCCCCACTTCCCTTACCCCTCCCTCCCCTGGTGTAAACTTTATTTTCAACATAGTGTCATGTGAGTATCATTGTTGCAATGGGTCATCCTGTGATGAACCTAAATTTTCTATTTCTCTAATCCTAATTCTAATTCTGTTTGGCATCCTAACCATAACCATAATAATAATGATAGCTCAATTCAAAAGTTAACAAAAAATATTTGGGTTTTTATTCATCCTATTAATTCAATGTATATCTTGAATTAACTTGCAGTTTAGCTTAAATCTTCCAAATTAGTTTATATGCGCATATATAAAGTTGTAATTTTATGTGAAAAACAGAATACCTTTGGAGGAAGGAGTAATGAGAAGGATATAGAGGGAGTATAATCAAATATGTTAAATATATTATGGAATTGTCACTTCTGACAATTAATATCTATTAACACAATAACTAAAAATTAATAAAGAACACACTGCCTTCTAGAGTTCTTTAAGAGAGCCATAATCTGTCTTCTGAAAAAAAAACAACAACAAACTCGTGTTAGATAAACTTTGTCCATGCATAATTTATATTGTTTGCCAATTAGTTAACTTAATGAATAAAAATTTATCGAATAAAATTCCTTGACAAAAAATATAAAACACTTACTTAGCAATTGTTTGAGAAAAAGTTTTTGTCATGAGTTTTAAGAAATGGAATTGCTATTTCCCTACAAAGCAATGAATTAAGTTTACTAATCTAGTATTTGTAGTAAGTTTAGAGAACATAATTGGCATGAAAAACAACTAAATATACATCTTGTTTCTTGAATGAGTGATATTTTAAACATTGTCTTTTATTCAAATAAATACCTAAGTTTACATTTCAAAATAAGTGCAATTTTATCTCCTTTCAGAATAAGTACTTACCCTGCAATTAAATGTACTAGCATATTCAGGTATTTAAAAGCTAAATTTTCTATGTTTGTTATGTAGCTCTACATATTCAGAATGACATGATTTTTTTATTCATAAATGTCTAACCTCAGATTTTTGCTTCATCAATATAAATTTTCTCATGAGGTTGTAGTGAGGGCTACAGTAACCAGAATGATCTAAACCATTTCCTGAATTCTAAATTTTAAATAAAATCATTTTTAAGCTTTGATAATATCATTTATAGTCTCTTCAGAGAAATTAAGCTAAAACAAATGATACTTTTTAAACATTTCACTCACATTGTAAAGAATATTAACATAGGTCAAAAAGAGACTAATTACTTCAGACTCATCATATTTAGTGATCTTAGTGTGAAGAATGTAGAGAGTAGAAGGTCCTTATACTCAATAAATAGTATTGGCTAAATTAAATCATATATCTGGATTTCTTAATTGGAGGTTAATCACATAGAGACAGGAAAATAATAAAAAATTTACTTTGGTTTCAACAGAAAAAGATATTTGTGCATGTACCACAGTTGCTTTATTAGTTTGTAGTTGAACACTGGACTTCGATTTATATCTTGGCTGTTGTTGTGAATAATGTGAATAACAATGAACTACAGATATATTTATGAGTTACCCAGAGAGAAATATTCACATGATTGGTGGGTCAGATGATATTTCAACTTAGGATTTCTTTTTTTTTTTGGGGGGGGGGGTCCGGTAGTGGAGCCTGAACTCTGGGCCTGGGCGCTTTCCCTCAGCTCTTCAGCCCAAGGCTAGCGCTCTACCACTTGAGCCACAGCGCCACTTCCCCCTTTTTCCTTTTTGCTTATGTGGTGCTGAGGGATCAAACCCAGGGCCTCGAGCATGCAAGGCAAGCACTCTACCACTGAGCCACCTTCCCAGCCCAGGATTTCTTTAGAAAACTGCATACTACTTTCTACAATGAGAACACTAACCTGTATTTTGACTAAGAGTATAGAAAATTTCCTTTTCTCCACAGTGTCGCCAGCCAACATTATTACCTTTTGAGTTTTTTAAAGGGTAGGTTTTTACTGTGTGCAGTACCCAAGACTGGCCTTATACTCAAGTCCTTTTACCCCAACCTCCAAACACTTGGAATTACCAGCCTTTACCACCACACCTGGGTCCTTGGATATTTTTGATAAGAGTTATAATAGTTACACAGTAGTATTATAGTAATTTTGAATTGCATTTCTCTAATGACTTCTGCTCACAAAGCATTCAGCCAACATAGACGTTTTATTAAATACAAATTTGTAAATCCACAGGAGATTTTCAGGGCTTTTTGGAAAACATGTCTATTCAGAATTTTTGTCCATTTTTAATCAAGTTTCTTGTTAATCTCATCTTTAATCTCTCTATAGCAAATCAATAATTAATTCAAGGTAGTAGAAAGGAAAAAATTAAGCAGCTCCTAACATTTAAAATTTTTTTAATAACATGATATTGCTTAAATCATTTTCTGTTGAGGCTTGAGACTATATAACTCAATTTAGTTAGACCTTTTACAAGACTATATATAATTTATTTATTTTACTTTGTTCTTTCCAAAGGCTGCATGACTAATTTCACTTGGTTTCTTTCAGTTTCATGTAGTTCAGATTTCAAAATGAAGAATAAATGGAAGGAAGCAAACAAAAAATATATTTCCCCTCATCTGATGATGCCTCTACAAGAATGAGAAAAGTGTTGATCCTTCTAAGGACCTAGGATAGAATATCAAAAAGACAATTTATTTTTCCAGGTCTTCCTTACCTTTGCGATGTAACTTAAATGATGTAAAACACAATATACTGCTCAGATACTTTTATGTTCTATCAGTTTTGCACATTTTCATATGGATTTCACCTCTGTCTACAACATTTCTTCATCATTCTGACCCTGATACTTTTACACTATCACGACATAAGATAACCAGTTTGTTTTACAGCATGAGAAGTTATCCATCTGGCTTCCTTGGAAGCAGAGCATGGTCAATAGATATTACTTCTGGTTGCTCACACTACATGTAATGGTTTTTGTACTACTTATCATATTCTATTTGGTATTTAAAAAAGAATGCTGGCTAAACTCAAAGCTCATTCATAGGTTTATGTTAAGTGTTTCACAAGTCTTATTCTCTTAATTCTTAAGATAACATTCGCTATAATGCTGATGTTATTACCATTGTAGTGTTGGGAAAAATTGTAGTTAAAGACACTAAGTGCATGGCCCAAAGACACACACAGTGAGGAAGGAAATGAGCCAAAGTTTCCAAAAGTCTTTCAGTAATACCAAAAAGGTGGGTAAAATCTCTCCATTCTCTTACACTCTCAATTCAATATTCATTTTGTCCAAGAAATAATAGCATAGCAAATATTGCCCTTGGTGATTGTTTTCTATCACATTTTGTCTTCAACACAGAATGTGTTGGTGACATTGGGTTATCATACACAGAGCTGAGCTTACAAATTGAAGTCCGAAGACAGCCAAATTTCTTCTGTCACACAGTTCCAGTTTCATTTTTAAAAAGTACTAAAACTTTTAAATATCATCACTTACTATCTTTTAACAATCCCCAAACTGACATATACTCACTTCAAAAGGCTTTCAAATTAGGAGATGATAAAACAGGCCCCCATGAAGTAAATTTTCTTTTATTTTTTAAAATTGTTCTAAAAGCCTTGTGCTGGCTGGTCACACCTATAATCCTATCTACTCTGAATATTTGCTCTGGAGTCTGATTTCTGTGGATAACACTTGGGAGCCAATCAGGGCCAAAAAAAAAAACTTCATGAAATTATTTTTCAAAATGTTTAATGAACTAGCAAAGAGCCAGGAATTGAGATGTAGCTTATGTAGTAGCTCACCAATCTAGATAGGAAAGGCCTAGCAAGACCTTGAAGCCCTGATTTTAAACTCTGAGCACGCCAATATACATTTAAGGCGTGTGTTCACATGCTCGCACGTGTTTCCTTGAGCGCTGCCTTACTCACACACACACACATTTATTCAAATTACCGTCATATCAGTGTTCTGCATTAATTTCTTTGTTAACGATATTATATGGGTAAAATACAGGAAATAAACTCTTCCATCTCAGAACATTTTTATATGTTTTTTATTGTAATAATACTGTGCACAGGGGTCACATTTACAAGGACAAGGAAACTAGTACATTTCCTAACAAGCATTGTTACCTCCTCCTTTATATTTCCCATACCATCCCTTCCCTCCCACCTCCACAAGTATACTCCCCTCCCCCTTCCTTCCTCCGCCTAAATTGTAAAGTTCATTTTTCAACATAGTGTCTTGTGCATCTCATTGTTACAATGGGTCAACCTGTATCCCTATTTGAGCATTTTTTCCCTTCCCCTCCCCAAATTAGAGAAGCATACATACAAGATGTAAGTGCACCAACTTCAAATACAGAGAAAACAGGGGTTTTATCGTGGGGAGAAGCATACAAAAAAACAAAAAATTGACATCACACATTATAAGTACCTGAGAAACAATAGCAAGAAACAAAAAACCACTTGTGTCCCTATTTTGGTGTTCAATTTCTTTAACATCATTTTATCTGGTTATATGCACATATCTTTTGAACTTTTCTGCTTA